AAGGCCAGGTTAGTCTCCTGTCACTCCTTGGTAAGGCCAGGTTAGTCTCCTGTCCCTCCTTGGTAAGGCCAGGTTAGTCTCCTGTCCCTCCTTGGTAAGGCCAGGTTAGTCTCCTGTCACTCCTTGGTAAGGCCAGGTTAGTCTCCTGTCCCTCCTTGGTAAGGCCAGGTTAGTCTCCTGTCACTCCTTGGTAAGGCCAGGTTAGTCTCCTGTCACTCCTTGGTAAGGCCAGGTTAGTCTCCTGTCACTCCTTGGTAAGGCCAGGTTAGTCTCCTGTCACTCCTTGGTAAGGCCAGGTTAGTCTCCTGTCCCTCCTTGGTAAGGCCAGGTTAGTCTCCTGTCCCTCCTTGGTAAGGCCAGGTTAGTCTCCTGTCCCTCCTTGGTAAGGCCAGGTTAGTCTCCTGTCCCTCCTTGGTAAGGCCAGGTTAGTCTCCTGTCCCTCCTTGGTAAGGCCAGGTTAGTCTCCTGTCCCTCCTTGGTAAGGCCAGGTTAGTCTCCTGTCCCTCCTTGGTAAGGCCAGGTTAGTCTCCTGTCCCTTCTTGGTAAGGCCAGGTTAGTCACCTGTCCCTCCTTGGTAAGGCCAGGTTAGTCGCCTGTACCTCCTTGGTAAGGCCAGGTTAGTCTCCTGTCACTCCTTGGTAAGGCCAGGTTAGTCTCCTGTCCCTCCTTGGTAAGGCCAGGTTAGTCACCTGTCCCTCCTTGGTAAGGCCAGGTTAGTCGCCTGTACCTCCTTGGTAAGGCCAGGTTAGTCTCCTGTCACTCCTTGGTAAGGCCAGGTTAGTCTCCTGTCCCTCCTTGGTAAGGCCAGGTTAGTCTCCTGTCACTCCTTGGTAAGGCCAGGTTAGTCTCCTGTCACTCCTTGGTAAGGCCAGGTGAGTCTCCTGTCCCTCCTTGGTAAGGCCAGGTTAGTCTCCTGTCCCTCCTTGGTAAGGCCAGGTTAGTCTCCTGTCACTCCTTGGTAAGGCCAGGTTAGTCTCCTGTCACTCCTTGGTAAGGCCAGGTTAGTCACCTGTCACTCCTTGGTAAGGCCAGGTTAGTCTCCTGTCCCTCCTTGGTAAGGCCAGGTTAGTCTCCTGTCCCTCCTTGGTAAGGCCAGGTTAGTCTCCTGTCCCTCCTTGGTAAGGCCAGGTAATTAACTTGGTACAGCCGGCCAGGTACAGTGGATCACGTGATCATGGTGCCTCTTTTTACACTGCCAACTCCAGTATTCTACACCGGTATATTCCACAGGGAACTTCGATTATATCAAGGCGTATACTATCTATACTCACCCTTATACTAAACTCACCCTGGCACTATACTCACCCTTATACTAGACTCACCCTGGCACTATACTCACCCTTATACTAAACTCACCCTGGCACTATACTCACTCTTATACTAAACTCACCCTGGCACCATACTCACCCTTATACTAAACTCACCCTGGCACTATACTCACCCTTATACTAAACTCACCCTGGCACCATACTCACCCTTATACTAAACTCACCCTGGCACTATACTCACCCTTATACTAAACTCACCCTGGCATTACACTCACCCTTATACTAAACTCACCCTGGCACTATACTCACCCTTATACTAAACTCACCCTGGCACCATACTCACCCTTATACTAAACTCACCCTGGCACTATACTCACCCTTATACTAAACTCACCCTGGCACCATACTCACCCTTATACTAAACTCACCCTGGCACTATACTCACCCTTATACTAAACTCACCCTGGCATTACACTCACCCTTATACTAAACTCACCCTGGCACTATACTCACCCTTATACTAAACTCACCCTGGCATTACACTCACCCTTATACTAAACTCACCCTGGCACCATACTCACCCTTATACTAAACTCACCCTGGCACCATACTCACCCTTATACTAAACTCACCCTGGCACCATACTCACCCTTATACTTAACTCACCCTGGCACTATACTCACCCTTATACTAAACTCACCCTGGCACCATACTCACCCTTATACTAAACTCACCCTGGCACTATACTCACCCTTATACTAAACTCACCCTGGCATTACACTCAACCTTATACTAAACTCACCCTGGCATTACACTCACCCTTATACTAAACTCACCCTGGCACTATACTTACCCTTATACTAAACTCACCCTGGCATTACAGTCACCCTTATACTAAACTCACCCTGGCACTATACTCACCCTTATACTAAACTCACCCTGGCATTACACTCACCCTTGTAATACCGCGACCTGCTAATCCCTGTCACACAACACCTCAGCTTGACACTGCTTGCAGATCACTGTGACCCCCACTGAATTTCCCGCTAATATGAAAACTGAAATATTAAATGAGGGGGGGGGGGAGGGGAGCAACAATTGAAGGGTTTATTAAATTTAATGATAATAAATAATACTTAATACGTGCTCTGCCACCACCTTCCTGACCAGAGTGTGAATGTGTCTATTACTGATCTCCCAGGAAGGACAGAGATCAATAAGCATGAACTCAAGGGCATTGGAATCTTGGTAATAATGCTTGAGGAATAAATTATATAACTTTACTTATTGAGGATTCAAGGGGTAACTCTAATATCCATGAACTGGAGGAGAACACTGGGGGGGAGGGGGGGGGGGATTTTTACTACAGCACATAAACACCACATATAAATATGACTCAGCATTAATAACCAAAACGGGGAACAAATAACTAAGCCAGAAAATACATTAATGAACACTTTATTTATTAACTGATACGAAATATTAATATCAAATTGGAAAATATCCTATACTAATAAGAGGAAGATAATAATATCTTCAAGAGGAAACTAGATTTATTCCTCCAAGGAGTGCAGGACTAACCGGGCTGTGGTGGGTATGTGGGCCTGCGGGCCGCTCCAAGCAACAGCCTGGTGGACCAAACTCTCACAAGTCAAGCCTGGCCTCGGGCCGGGCTTGGGGAGTAGAAGAACTCCCAGAACCCCATCAACCAGGTATCAACCAGGTAATAATGCCTAAGAGGCAATATCACCGGAGTGTGCAATTACTTTTGATGTACCAAAACTCAGACAGACATTTACCTTATTCCTGCCAACCGGCTAAAGATGTTGAATGGCTTGTCCTACAGGTCATTAGACCTGTACCCCAGTGAAGCCCCAGACACACTGACTACTATTTTTCCTTAACAAACTTCCAGTGGAAACAAGCTCCACCCATTCTGCAGTTCCTTAGGTCCAATTAACCCCGCCTTTCCAAGCCTATAGCCAATGAATTCAAAGTCTTGCTCTAGGCCAGCCAACTGCCCTGACTAGCTCCGCCCACCTAGGCCTCCCGGCTTCCACCAACCAAGGCTCCTAGCTAGCCTAGCCCATAAGGTTCTCTTGACAGAGTTCTCAACGTTCCCACGCTCACGTCCCAGGAAACCTGGCACCGGGCTTATATGACACCGGCTAGAGGCTGAGTTTATTGGACCTCAATTTGTCGATGTCTATAGCAGAGGCGGAGGAGAGGGGAAGGAGTGGGGGTAGAAAGGGAAGTGAGTGGGAATGGAGTGGGCACAGAGAGGGACTGTCCAGCCTCCAGGGGTGTCTTGACTTCATGGTTTATGACCAGTGAGGGTCAGACTGTGACACAAGGGAGGATAAAGGGAGGGGTGAACAAGGGAGAGTAAGAGGACGAAGGTAAGGGGAGACGAGGAGAGGGGAGAAGGGAGAAGCCATGGTCTGAGCACAGATCATTACACCCTTATACTACACTCTGGCACTCACCCTTATTCTACACTCACCCTGGCATTATACTCACCCTTATTCTACACTCACCCTGGCATTATACTCACCCTTATTCTACACTCACCCTGGCATTATACTCACCCTTATACTACACTCACCCTTGCACTATTCTCACCCTTATAGTAATCTCACCCTGTCACTATACTCACCCTCACACTGTTCACCTTGTATTTACTGAGCTTGGCACTATAGTCATCTTGTACGTATTGACCTTGACACCACACCCAGCCCGTCACTATACTCACCCCTAACTATCCTAACCAAACCCGCCTAACCTAACCATATTATCCTATACTAAGGCATTGCCTTGTGATCTTTGTGTTCGGGTCTTGGAGATATTTATATTAAACGAGTGAGACACTTGTCAGTTCAGATTCTGTGTTGTCTTCTGCGTTTAATATGACTGGCAGGTAGGCTGTGTCTATATATTCTTTTGCTATTAACTATCTTTGGCTGTTCACTTTTGATATTAGGTACGAATAAGCAATCTTTTAGCTGAGGGTCCTGCCAATCTTTCTCACAATTGAATTAGTCTCTACTAAAAGTATTTGAACATATAAGCCATTCAATAGTTAGATGAAGAGAGAATGAATGAGTATAAAATGGGGTATTAATCGGGTCTTCTACATATTGCCTCTAGATGGGTGACATGATTGAGGTGTATAAGTGGATAAATGGGTATTAAAAGAGGGGGTAATAATTAGGGTATATATTAGACATTAGGTAAGACATTGGTAAATATCAGTGTGAACATTGTGCTATTTCCATTGATTCTTATGTATAAGCCTTCTCCAGTTTATCTCATTTCATTGTGGCAGTTGATGACTGGTTCAACACGGGTGTAAATATGAAATGCCATATGTTCCCCCCAAAAGGCCTTCTGCTATTTCCTTATGTTTAATATTCAATCATTTAACTAGAAAAAATCTTTAAAAATGGGTTTTAGTATTAAATAATTGAAAATGGGATTAAATATGCATATATGAAAAGCGGACTTATTGAGGGAAGATGAAGACTGGCTGGCTAATGTCGCCATTGACCATTCGTGGTTGCCATATCTGTGCGTCATCCAGGGAACGGAATTTAGGAGTAGCTAGATGGTGCTGTATACTCTCCAAGGAATCAATTTAAGGGCCAGAAGCCTGCAGCCCAAAATATGAAAATTACGGGTTTCTGGCCCAATTTCCACTACTACTGCTGCTCACCCCGTCTTAATACCCTGCAGAAGGAGGTGTACGAGGACACGACGAAGGTGCTGGTGGAGGATGTGATGACGGGGTTCAGCGCGACAGTGTTCGCGTATGGTGCGACGGGGGCGGGCAAGACCTTCACCATGGTGGGCAGCAGCGAGCAGCCGGGCATCATGGTCAGGGCTCTCAACGACCTCTTCACTGCCCTTGACCCGGAGAACAACCCCAAGACTAAGGTCAGTACTTCATCCTCTCTCGGTCACTGTCTACCTCCCTTCATAGTCCTTCTGTCTCTCCCTCTGTCTGTCATGGCCACTGTATACCTCCCTTCATAGTCCTCCTGTCTCTCCCTCTGTCTGTCATGACCACTGTCTCTTTCACTGTCTGTCATGCCCACTGTCTCTCCCTCTGTCTGTCATGGCCACTGTCTCTTCCTCTGTCTGTCATGCCCACTGTCTCTCCCTCTGTCTGTCATGGCCACTGTATACCTCCCTTCATAGTCCTTCTGTCTGTCTTGCCCACTGTATGTTCATTGGTCTGTCCCTCAGTCTGTCTGTCTCTGTGTTCGTTGGTCTGTCCCTCAGTCTGTCTGTCTCTGTGTTCGTTGGTCTGTCCCTCAGTCTGTCTGTCTCTGTGTTCGTTGGTCTGTCCCTCAGTCTGTCTGTCTCTATGTTCGTTGGTCTGTCCCTCAGTCTGTCTGTCTCTGTGTTCGTTGGTCTGTCCCTCTGTCTGTTTGTGTCTTCGTTGATCTATCCCTCTGTCTATCTTACTATTCGCTCGTTCATCTGTCCATCGGCTAATACATCTTTCCTATTTATCTGTTTATGAACCCATCTATTTGTTATTTCTTGTGTTCAACCGTTTGTGAGAGTAGCGTTCTCTCGCCGCTCTGGGGAGACTGAGAACGCTGGGGTGAGGTCGTGGGGTGAGCGTTCTCACGCCCCAGGGAACTAGACCATCTACCCGTCTCGTGGGTGGTAGTGGACACCATGCCCGTCTCGTGGGGGGTAGTGGACACCTTACCCGTCTCGTGGGGGGTAGTGGACACCTTACCCGTCTCGTGGGGGGTAGTGGACACCATGCCCGTCTCGTGGGGGTAGTGGACACCTTACCCATCTCGTGGGGGTAGTGGACACCTTACCCATCTTGTGGGGGGTAGTGGACACCTTACCCATCTTGTGGGGGGTAGTGGACACCTTACCAGTCTCGTGGGGGGTAGTGGACACCTTACCCGTCTCGTGGGCGGTAGTGGACACCTTACCAGTCTCGTGGGGGGTAGTGGACACCTTACCCATCTTGTGGGGGGTAGTGGACACCTTACCAGTCTCGTGGGGGGTAGTGGACACCTTACCCGTCTCGTGGGTGGTAGTGGACACCTTACCAGTCTCGTGGGGGGTAATGGACACCTTACCCGTCTCGTGGGTGGTAGTGGACACCTTACCCGTCTCGTGGGCGGTAGTGGACACCTTACCCATCTTGTGGGGGGTAGTGGACACCATGCCCGTCTCGTGGGGGTAGTGGACACCTTACCCATCTCGTGGGGGTAGTGGACACCTTACCCATCTTGTGGGGGGTAGTGGACACCTTACCCGTCTCGTGGGCGGTAGTGGACACCATGCCCGTCTCGTGGGGGGTAGTGGACACCTTACCCGTCTCGTGGGCGGTAGTGGACACCTTACCCGTCTCGTGGGGGGTAGTGGACACCATGCCCATCTCGTGGGCGGTAGTGGACACCATGCCCGTCTCGTGGGGGGTAGTGGACACCATGCCCATCTCGCGGGGGGTAGTGGACACCATGCCCGTCTCGTGGGGGGTAGTGGACACCATGCCCGTCTCGTGGGGGGTAGTGGACACCATGCCCGTCTCGCGGGCGGTAGTGGACACCATGCCCGTCTCGTGGGGGGTAGTGGACACCTTACCCGTCTCGTGGGGGGTAGTGGACACCATACCCGTCTCGTGGGTGGTAGTGGACACCATGCCCGTCTCGTGGGGGGTAGTGGACACCATGCCCGTCTCGTGGGGGGTAGTGGACACCATGCCCGTCTCGTGGGGGGTAGTGGACACCATGCCCGTCTCGTGGGGGTAGTGGACACCATGCCCGTCTCGTGGGGAGTAGTGGACACCATGCCCGTCTCGTGGGGGGTAGTGGACACCTTACCCGTCTCGTGGGTGGTAGTGGACACCATGCCCGTCTCGTGGGGGGTAGTGGACACCTTACCCGTCTCGCGGGTGGTAGTGGACACCATGCCCGTCTCGTGGGGGGTAGTGGCCACCATGCCCGTCTCGTGGGGGGTAGTGGACACCATGCCCGTCTCGTGGGGGGTAGTGGACACCATGCCCGTCTCGTGGGGGGTAGTGGACACCATGCCCGTCTCGTGGGGGGTAGTGGACACCTTACCCGTCTCGCGGGCGGTAGTGGACACCTTACCCGTCTCGTGGGTGGTAGTGGACACCATGCCCGTCTCGTGGGGGGTAGTGGACACCATGCCCGTCTCGTGGGTGGTAGTGGACACCATGCCCGTCTCGTGGGGGGTAGTGGACACCATGCCCGTCTCGTGGGTGGTAGTGGACACCATGCCCGTCTCGCGGGTGGTAGTGGACACCATGCCCGTCTCGTGGGTGGTAGTGGACACCATGCCCGTCTCGTGGGTGGTAGTGGACACCATGCCCGTCTCGTGGGGGGTAGTGGACACCTTACCCGTCTCGTGGGTGGTAGTGGACACCATGCCCGTCTCGTGGGTGGTAGTGGACACCATGCCTGTCTCGTGGGTGGTAGTGGACACCATGCCCGTCTCGCGGGCGGTAGTGGACACCTTACCCGTCTCGTGGGGGGTAGTGGACACCATGCCCATCTCGTGGGGGGTAGTGGACACCATGCCCGTCTCGTGGGTGGTAGTGGACACCATGCCCGTCTCGTGGGGGGTAGTGGACACCATGCCCGTCTCGCGGGCGGTAGTGGACACCTTACCCGTCTCGTGGGTGGTAGTGGACACCATGCCCGTCTCGTGGGGGGTAGTGGACACCATGCCCGTCTCGTGGGGGTAGTGGACACCATGCCCGTCTCGTGGGTGGTAGTGGACACCATGCCCGTCTCGTGGGGGGTAGTGGACACCATACCCGTCTCGTGGGTGGTAGTGGACACCATGCCCGTCTCGTGGGGGGTAGTGGACACCATGCCCGTCTCGTGGGGGGTAGTGGACACCATGCCCGTCTCGTGGGGGGTAGTGGGCACCATGCCCGTCTCGTGGGGGGTAGTGGACACCATGCCCGTCTCGTGGGGAGTAGTGGACACCATGCCCGTCTCGTGGGGGGTAGTGGACACCTTACCCGTCTCGTGGGTGGTAGTGGACACCATGCCCGTCTCGTGGGGGGTAGTGGACACCTTACCCGTCTCGTGGGTGGTAGTGGACACCATGCCCGTCTCGTGGGGGGTAGTGGACACCATGCCCGTCTCGTGGGGGGTAGTGGACACCATGCCCGTCTCGTGGGGGGTAGTGGACACCATGCCCGTCTCGTGGGGAGTAGTGGACACCATGCCCGTCTCGTGGGGGGTAGTGGACACCATGCCCGTCTCGTGGGGGGTAGTGGACACCATGCCCGTCTCGCGGGTGGTAGTGGACACCATGCCCGTCTCGGGGGGGGTAGTGGACACCATGCCCGTCTCGGGGAGGGTAGTGGACACCATGCCCGTCTCGTGGGGGGTAGTGGACACCATGCCCATCTCGTGGGTGGTAGTGGACACCATGCCCGTCTCGTGGTGGGTAGTGGACACCATGCCCGTCTCGTGGGGGGTAGTGGACACCATTCCCGTCTCGTGGGGAGTAGTGGACACCATGCCCGTCTCGTGGGGGGTAGTGGACACCATTCCCGTCTCGTGGGGGGTAGTGGACACCATGCCCGTCTCGTGGGGTGTAGTGGACACCATGCCCGTCTCGTGGGGGGTAGTGGACACCATGCCCGTCTCGCGGGTGGTAGTGGACACCTTACTCGTCTCGTGGGTGGTAGTGGACACCTTACCCGTCTCGCGGGGGTGGTAGTGGACACCATGCCCGTCTCGTGGGTGGTAGTGGACACCTTACCCGTCTCGTGGGTGGTAGTGGACACCTTACCCGTCTCGCGGGGGTGGTAGTGGACACCATGCCCGTCTCGTGGGTGGTAGTGGACACCTTACCCGTCTCGTGGGTGGTAGTGGACACCTTACCCGTCTCGCGGGGGTGGTAGTGGACACCATGCCCGTCTCGTGGGTGGTAGTGGACACCTTACCCGTCTCGTGGGGGGTAGTGGACACCTTACCCGTCTCGTGGGGGGTAGTGGACACCATGCCCGTCTCGTGGGGGGTAGTGGACACCATGCCCGTCTCGTGGGGTGTAGTGGACACCTTACCCGTCTCGTGGGTGGTAGTGGACACCATGCCCGTCTCGTGGGTGGTAGTGGACACCATGCCCGTCTCGTGGGTGGTAGTGGACACCATGCCCGTCTCGCGGGCGGTAGTGGACACCTTACCCGTCTCGTGGGGGGTAGTGGACACCATGCCCATCTCGTGGGGGGTAGTGGACACCATGCCCGTCTCGTGGGTGGTAGTGGACACCATGCCCGTCTTGGGGGGGGGGGTAGTGGACACCATGCCCGTCTCGTGGGTGGTAGTGGACACCATGCCCATCTCGTGGTGGGTAGTGGACACCTTACCCGTCTCATGGGGGGTAGTGGACACCATGCCCGTCTCGTGGGGGGTAGTGGACACCATGCCCGTCTCGTGGGGGGTAGTGGACACCATGCCCGTCTCGTGGGGGGTAGTGGGCACCATGCCCGTCTCGTGGGGGGTAGTGGACACCATGCCCGTCTCGTGGGGTGTAGTGGACACCATGCCCGTCTCGTGGGGGATAGTGGACACCTTACCCGTCTCGTGGGTGGTAGTGGACACCATGCCCGTCTCGTGGGGGGTAGTGGACACCTTACCCGTCTCGTGGGTGGTAGTGGACACCATGCCCGTCTCGTGGGGGGTAGTGGACACCATGCCCGTCTCGTGGGGGTAGTGGACACCATGCCCGTCTCGTGGGGGGTAGTGGACACCATGCCCGTCTCGTGGGGGGTAGTGGACACCATGCCCGTCTCGTGGGGGGTAGTGGACACCATGCCCGTCTCGTGGGGGGTAGTGGACACCATGCCCGTCTCGCGGGTGGTAGTGGACACCATGCCCGTCTCGTGGGGGGTAGTGGACACCATGCCCGTCTCGTGG